ACTCCAGGAACAAATCATGGTTAACTAGTCTGATTTTGTTAGTTTAATATTCAGTTCACTACTAATTGAGAATACTTGTCCTATGTTAAAAATATTAAGTTAAAAGAGTTAAAACCTGATCATGTTTAGAAAATGCAGTTAGCAATTATGTTCCCAAATTCATTACTTAATGTTAAAATGTATTGTTTAAAAGTGTGCTAAAACCAGATCTATTGATCAGTGATGTCTCCCCTTTTTGATAAAAGCTAAGATAAAGTAATATGATTCAAATGTAGTTAAAAACTTTTGTTCAAAATAAATATATGAAAATAGACTTGGAAATTGCTTTGGCTCAGTGCAACAGAGATAATAAAAATAAAGAATAAAAAACACTTCTAAGGAATAAATTTAAATTTAAAATAGAGTTAGTTACTATTTACAATATACAAGTGCACATGGTGCACACAAAATGTATGTTTCTGTTCTCTTTTTGAGGTTTTATTATATGATTTTAACCTTTAAATAAGCCATGACAGAAAATCTCCCTCCTCTGGACCCTGATTACCCGGCCGGAATCTTTCCGTACTGTAGTCTCCTCAAACCTGCATATTTCCCTGGAGTCTCCATTTCACTAAGACTGTGTTGATTTCATTCATTCAGCTGTGATTTGCACTGCTAGACAATAATTAATGCATTTAAAAGAACTTGATCAAATCTACATTTATTTGTGTTTCATGCATAATATTGGTGTATTTGGCCCGCGGCCCACTGGCAAATTTTTACTTTGGCCCTTGGAAGCAAAAGGTTTGGGCACCCCTGCTCTACAGTGATGACAAAAGCGAGACGCCGAACACACTGCTGCATCAACGCCTCCAACGTTACATTCAGACCAGAACTACATGACACTGGTTACACTCAGACCAGAACTACATCACACTGGTTACACTCAGACCAGAACTACATCACACTGGTTACACTCAGACCAGAACTACATGACACTGGTTACACTCAGACCAGATCTACATCACACTGGTTACACTCAGACCAGATCTACATCACACTGGTTACACTCAGACCAGATCTACATCACACTGGTTACACTCAGACCAGATCTACATCACACTGGTTACACTCAGACCTATTTCCAGAATCTTCCTGTCGGTGTGACCCATGTAACACTTATGCACTGATTACAGATGCAATCCCCCTGCTGGGGTTTAGCTAGAATGGTACAAACTCTGTACGACTACTTTCATTTAAACAAATGTATAGAAAAAAAAAATGTAATGAATTTTGCCATAAAATAAGAAAGAGCCAATATCAACAAATTTCTAAAAACTGGCGACCCTCATTTTGTGTTTTTTAATTAAGACTTTAGTTCAGAAAAGGTCAGATTTGATTTTGTAAAATATAATCTGCTCTATTAACTGGGGACATATATAAAAGTAATATAATATAATAAAATATTACATACGTCCAGTTTAAAGCAACTTATTTTGATTGTAAAATTACTAAATTATCAAATTATTAATCATTTCAAACTTGTTATGTCGTGGTCCTTGTCGAAAAAGTTTGAAACCTCTGATCTATGACACATTATTATATTTTTTGACCTTTTCCAATCTCCATAATGTTCAAAAACTTAAGGACATTTCCAGTTTCACCCACCACCTATCTCCGCCCACTACTCAATGGTTCAAAAATGTCAGTGGATATTGACCATTAAATACTGCTGTTGCTGCTACAGTGAAATGCAATAGAATGGAATAGAATATTTCTGATCCTCATTGCAAGTACAGTGAACAAAAAAACACAAATGAAAAACAGTGTCAAAAAAGAAATTATGAAATTATTACCGTAAAACTGATGATGACTTTTATGAACAATAGGTTTAAGTGTTTTTAGTGATTTGCAACAGATTTCAAAAAAGACAAAACCGTAGCTGCCCGGTCGTCTGAACACAGGCTCTTTGTTATTATTTTGACATTGGCCTTTCATGGGAACAATTGGCTTTCTCCTTCGACAGGAATTGTGAGCCACTAGTCACGACTCACAACCGGCTAAAGCTGCAATACCCAATAGAGATTTTTATAATAGATCCACAACAAACATGGCTGCTCTCTGCTCATGAGGAAAAAATAAAAAATTACAGCATTTTGGAAAACATAGACACAATAAGCAAACAAAAGATAGTGATCCCACTGCGCAAAAACAACCGAAACTCCTGGTGCTCCTCATCCTCACACACTGAGAGACACAGGTTGGCGTGTCAAAACAACTCGGCAATTTTCCCGCCTCACGACCTCGTCTTTTTTTATAGAAGCTGTAATATAGGCAGCAATGAAATCAAACTGTTTCATAGCCCTTAGCTTTCTTGTGGGACAGGTGAAGGTCATGAGGTTACTACTAGGTCTGGGACATGTGAATAAATAATAGAAAGCCTTTAATATTCTCTGAGGCATTAGTTTGCTTGGTACATGTTCCTATAGTAAGAGAAAAGAGGCTAATACCGCTTAATTACCATGTTTCGGCGGTAGACTTCCGCCTTCGTCAGGAGTGACACATTCACCTCTGATCAGCTGTTGTTGTTACTGTCCGCATTTGGGAACAACAGCTGAATCAAGCCGTACTAGCTTCTTTACACTCTTTGTCTTCTTAAAAGATCCATAAAAGCCTCAGTCCCACTGTTGTCCTGGGTCGACGTTTTGTGCAAGTTTAATTGTAAAGCTTTTGATTTTTGACAATTGATTTTGGCTTGAAGTGCGATGGAGGGATGGGGACCAGACTGATATCCATCCATTCATATTCTTCCACTTCATCCATTGCCGGGTCTAAGCAGTTTAAGCAGCGGCGCCCATACTTCCCTATCCACACACAAATCCTCCATCTAATCCGGAAGTCTTTCAGTGAATCTTAGCCACACCTATTACTAAAACGAGTATTCTCTTCTGGTATCCAATCCATCGTCTAATATTAAATCAATGTGTTGCTAAATTGTGGCAGAAATAGGCGCTGCTGACGTTCTTTTCTTTTGTAGTGACTTTGCGGGGTTCTTCCTGGTGGGCGCCACACTATAATTAGGACCACCAACCAAAGACGCTTTCAACAGCTTTTACTCCTAACACTGCTGTGGAACGACTTGCAATTCACAAAGAAGATTCAAGATCCTTAAAGACAATCATGAAAGAGTACATTTTCCTCATCTGTAATTAGTATGGTTCTTCTTATGAATACGTAATTGTAGAAATCAAACATATTTCTTATGATATTTTGAGCAATACGTGCATTTAGCTTAGGCGCTCTTTGCAAATATATTATAATTTCATTCAATGTATTATGTATTTTTGTATAGCCCTAAATCACAACAGCAGTTATCACGTACGACTTTTTGGTTCAGACCTGTTTTAGTCCTAATTTAGTCCAGGTTTAGTCAGACGTGAGGTCCTGGTTAAGTCCTGATTTCGTCCCGGTTTAATCCTGAATGGTTTGTCCTTGGTTTTGCTCTGGTTTACCCCCAATTTCACATGTTTCTCCACATTAAAACGGCTCATAAATCAGTAGATACAGTTTGGCTCCTCTAGAATTTCCCTGTTGCTCAAAATAACAATAGCGAGAAAGAAAACCCACAAAATTCAATAAAGGAGCAATATTCTGCCCCATATGCAAACATGGCCAGTAATAAAGCTGGTGAGAGCTGCTACTATGCTACTCATTTAGTGCAGGCTGAAAACGCAATAAATACATCTCCTTGTGTTCGCTTTATGAGAAACACTGTGTTTACGATGGAGCAGAGACAACAAGAACTTCACAGATTTACGGTATTCACAGTTTTAGAAGTTGTAGTTCTGGCAAAGGTAATAGTAACAGAGGTAAGTGAAGCATTATGGGAGAAGAAACAGCATGTAGTTGGAGCAGTAGTATTTTTATGCTAATGTGGTATTGTCCAGAGAATGAAAATGAGATATTTCTTTCAATCAAAGAAAACAGTTCCACAGCTGCCCTGCCCGGATCGAAGGAAGGCTGCCAATCTGTGCCATTAGCCCCGCCGAGCACCGACTCTCTCACATTGCAAGCATTCATGATGGGTATACGTGTCTTGCCCAAGAACCCAATGTCTGAACTGACCAACTCTGGCTTTAAAGATACTAATACAACCTAAACATCACTTTTACGCAGGTTTCTGTAGGTGCTGAAAGTTAACGGGAAAAATACCTTCGGTAATATGCACAAGTCTTTTGATTAATTGCATACACTTAGCTACACATTTATTACACTCCTGGTTATGCTATCGTTTGGACTAGCTAACGTTCACTCCCAATATCTATGGTGATTATTCTTTTCATTCGTTTTTTCAGAACATATGACATTCTAACTCTATTACCCCAGATAAAACTGGTATGAAGCCTATGAAGGACATTTTAATCAGTTTAAAAATACATTTGTTTTTAATTGCTGCCCATACAACTAATTGAGTTGACAATCATTGAGAAAAAACTAGAATAGTGTATTTATGTATTATGTAGTATCATTTATCAATTTAATTATTCAAACCCTAGCCATCATTACTTTAACTCTTGGTTTCTGTAAGGTTACTGTCATATATGATCTATAGAGAGGAATACATCCAAATCAATGTCAGCAACAAACTCAAGCCCAGTTTGGAAGCACACGACAACGTTTAGAAGTGTGCTGATGTGTTATTACGCGTAAAATCCAATGGCATACTGAACTTCTGTGCCACAGCGAATTGTAGCTGTTGTATTCTTTGCCTTTATTGTAAATCCATATGTTTAAGTTGTTCGGCAGAATGTGTATCTTGCGGATGTGTTGAAAGATCACATTAGGCAACATCGCATTCGGATTCGCTTTGTGCGTAATGTGAGTATTGACTATACGTAACTCTTCACATACTTGTAGTAGTAGCAGGATATTGGCCACCGGTGATATTCGTAAAAGCCTTACTACAAATACTGGTGCTAAATCTTTGCTCGGTGATGCTTTCCACATCAGCACAGAATAGGTTACGGAGAAGCAGAGTGTTGCCCTGATGTGAAGACTGGAGTCGTCATCTCATAAGAAGCTGTTGAAAAGAAGCTGCAACAAAGTCAATGCATTCAAACAACGCGTTAACGTTGTCAATAGACCGCGTAACCCATCATGCAACAGCTCACAGCAATTATGGTATTTGTTGTCCTGTAGGAGATGCATGAGCGCATGAAACAATTTAGAATAATGTGTGCGTAAAGCCAGAATCTGCTGTAGTCCTGTAGTCCTGTAGTCCAGTCCTCTCTGGAGCCTCGGTGATAATGCTCGTGGTTCTGTCAGTGTGTAAAAACTTACCGCAGTCCTCACACAAAACCCGCTCCACGTCCTTCTTCAGCTCGGGCTCGCTGGTGTCCACGGGGGCGTAGGAAGCCTTGAAGACCAGCGGCTCTCCAGTGGGGTCCATGAAAAAGATATAGCGGTGGTCCTTCTCCACGGGGGTGCACGGGGCCTCGGAGCCGAAGTCCCCCACGGTGACGAGCTGCTCCCGCTCTAGGCCCCCGCTGTTGACGGGCCACACGTCCAGAACTCTGACATTCACACTGTACGGCTCCCGGGACGTGGCGTTTTTGTCGGGGAAGGAGCTCACCTCGCCCTCTATCACCACGGCCGAGCGATAAGCCTGGTCCTGGAGGGAGTTGAGGCTCGGGGCGTAGCAGGCGAACGAGACCCCGATGACCAGCATGGAGAAGTGCACTGGGTCGAGCCTCATGCCGTTAGCCGGTGCTGCGCTGCTGCTGCTGATGCTGCTGCTGTGCTGCTGCGGGGCTGGAGTCGGGACAGAGATGCAGACCGAGTGACAGTGTCCATGCCATCCCCATGAACGGCGACCGGCCTCCGCTACGCACAGCACGCCTAGGCACCGCCAACAGCCCGCGTCTGCATGCTCAAAAACGCTGCATTCTCCGTGTATCCCCTTGGTATCTCCCGTTTCCTGAAACTCGTAAATTAGCCTCCTCTCTATCCACAGCGCTGGCTCCTTCTCTCTCTCCTCCTCTGAGCTAATAGGCTAACATCGCATGGGTGGGCGCTTGGTGGAAAAGGGGGGGAATGCGCGAGTAAAAAAAGGAAAGAATGAAAACGCAAGGTCGGCTCGTTTATCCACTTATGTCGCTGCCCTGTGAAGCTGGAGGAGCGGAGGGGAAGCGTCGGTGATGGAGGGAGGCTGGAGAGGGGGGAGAGACAGCAGCAGTATCCGGTGAGGCGATGCAACAGTACATCCGCGTCCCCTGCGCCCCTCATGCCATCAAACGGCTTACGTGAGCAAACACCAGCCGCCCGGTCAGTCCCCCTCCTGCGCTAACAGCCTAATGACCGGGCACGCACGCGGCACAGGCGGAAGCGGCACGAGCGCCCGGTAACGCCAGAAAAAAAAAAAAAAAAAGCCCAACGTGACGACGGCTGCAGTGCACGGGATCCACACTTAAATATAAAGCCAAGCCCAGTCAGGACGGCACAAGGCATGGGGCTATAGGAGCTGCACACACACACATACACACATATATATATATATATATATATATATATATATATATAGACACACAAATACACACACACACAGATATATATATATATATATATATACACACACACACACACACACACACTGCGCTGCGGAGAGCTGTTGCGATGACTAACGCTGCGAAATTCTCTCAATGGGCTCCTAAACATGGCGAGTGTAGCTTCAGTTGGCCCCAGTCCTCACGCTCCTCTCCCGGCCTCACTTCTGTATGTGAGCCATTGCACCTCTGCTCTGCCTCGGGACAGACCAAAAGACACAATTAAAACATTGTCAGAGCACCCAGAAACACATCAGTGGTCAAAACTGTGGAATCAACTCAAATATGAAATAAAAAGTTCTGCAAACATCCACATGTTTCGTATGGAATGAATGATCAGGAAAATAACTATATATAACAACATACGTTTTTCTTTTGTGTGACAAGACTACAATTACTTGAAATGTAAATGTGATAAGTGATGTATTGTCATGTCCATAATTGGAATAAAAAAGTAAAATGGTGTTGTATTCAAAGACGACAGCTGCCCAGACTTGCCAGACCTTAAACCGTAAAGTTGTGGAACAAATTCAAGTTTTCAACTGTTCAAAGGGTGTGATACAGTGGGATATTTTGTGCCAAGAGAGACGCAGACATATATTTACCATATTAAATTCAGGTGAGTGTCACAGCTGAGGAGGTGCACACATATTTTACTGAGAGTCCCTCTCTGGACCAGCACCAGTTATCTATAAGTTCATGAAACAGACTGAGGACTCGTTAAATTAAGAATTATCTCACATGTACAGAGCAGTGTTGACACATTTCTGAACTCTGGAGTCATTGGAGAAACTGTCTATTATTAGTGTAAAATGGCTCCACAAACTTACCTTAGTAATCTCATTTGTTTGGGGTTAAAAAATAGCATCAACTAAAAGCAAAACTAAATACACACAATTCAGACTCAATAAAGAACCCTTTCTCAAACTTCAAACTCCAACCTGATGGTATTATTTATCAATCACACAAAAAACATCTCACAACATGGGACAACTGTGCGTACTCCATCATCAATCAGAATTCACCTTGTCCTTCGTCATCTGTCCTTCGTCTTGGCGCCAACCTGGAAACATGAGAAAGGGTCATGGAGTGGACATTTCAGACAGGTCCATTTAGACATGACAAATGTTCTGTAAAAGCTCTCTGGATCCTGTTTGGATGAAAAGAACAACGGCAGGACATTGATTAAAATGGTGAGGTTTGCACTCCAGACATGAGCACGAGTGTCTTGGAGAAAGTGCCACACATTTAACTGTTGGTTACTTCAGGTTACTAGTCTCAATCACTAGATTTTGGTGCTCCTCCTTCCTCTGGTCTTTCACTCCCCTCCCCTTGTGTGTCTGTGAGTCTCCTCCCCCATTTCAGGTGCCTGCTGTGAATGCCCACCTGTCTCCCATCAGGCCAATCGGGGAGAGTATTTGTATGCTGGAAATCCACTCAGCCACTGCCAGTTCGTCCCTTGAATGCGGTGAAGCAACGTATTTTGTGAGACTTTTTGAAAGACTATTTTTGGACTTGTTTGAACACGGTTTTTGGTGAGGACCAGCCTTCCTGTTGCTATTCCTGAAGCTTGTTTGGATTTTTTTTTTTGTTTCTCCGGTGATTTTTGTTTAATTAAATTGACTTGTTACTCCTTGGATCCGCATTTGGAGTCTATTTTTCAAATCACAACATCTCAGTTCAGTTCAGTTTATTTATTGCCATTTGCAGTAAAAAAACACATTGGAATACATTAGCAAAAAGTCTCCAGTGTGCACAGACAAATACAGACATAAAACAACATTAAAAGATAGAAATAAAACAAATAAAACAGTAAACAAATGTCACTGTGAAATCGATTGACTAAAACAGTTTCAAAACAAGTGCAAATCATTAAAGTGCTCTGTTCACACTGATAACAGCTTGTGGATAAAAACTGTTAGCGTAACGAGATGTCCTGCATCTCAGAGAGCGCTAAGAAGCTGGAACATGGCTTATTCGGTCTTGCAAGTACAGTAAAGTGTTAGTACCATATACTTGGACTCTGAGGAGTGCAGGGACTGGCCTCCTGTTAGTGCCTAGAGTCAGAACTAAACATGGGGAGGCAGCATTTCAGATTCATGCAACTAAAATCTGGAACAGTCTTCCTAAAAATGGGAGACAGGCTTCTTCTCTGAAAATGTTCAAATCCAGGTTAAAAACAGTTCTGTTATGTATATGTACTGTGATTATTTATGATGTTAATGCCTTGTGTGACTGTCTCTATCTTGTTTTGTTCAGCACTTTGAGTTGCCTTGTGTATGAATTGTGCTAAGTGAGATTCTAAAAGCGAAAAAGCCAAATCATGTTATATTTTAATAATACAGAAATGACACTGGATTCAATGAGGAAGCTGTTTAATTGCATCAAATCAAAAGCAGTAGAAACCCTACTCAGCCACTTCAGGAGAGCCTCCAAAGATTGCCCACACAACAATTCAAATCATTTCAATGTATTTTTGTAAAGCTCTCAATCACAACATAGCAGTCGTCTCGGAAGACTTTACAAAGTTGTCGATTTTCCAACAACCGATCAGAGAATTAACCAGTTCGAATAAAAGCGATGAAAAAACAACAAACAGGAGATATTGTTCCATAGGAGGGGGAAAAACCTAAGTCCATAAATGCAAATAAATGTCCAATATGTTCGGACCCACAGACGGACAGGCTGTAGATCCAGGCCTCGGGGTGAAGAACAAGAACTTGTCATGGGTCATTTATATATAATGCACAACTATATGGTTAAAAAACAAATATACTGATTCAAGCTCAGAATCATTGTACATGTATGTGTTTTGTTTGAATCTAAAATGACAGAACTGGGGAATTCCTATCTCATATCTGGAGACACAGATTTAAACGACCCCGAAATTATATAACTTAGATTTAATTTAAGTTTAACTAAGTAACTAGATGTTTTCTATATCAACTATGGCTCTTCCTTCATGTGGCCCCCGGAGTGTCCCAGAGGCTAAAGGGGCACCGCTGCTGTCCGTGGTGCTGAACCAAAGACAAAGAATGAACTCACGTGTATAATAAAGTGTCTTTTGCTGCTTCTCACAGATATTTATTAGATATATTATGTTATATTTTATTGTTTATTTAGCTGTTTGTATGTATATAAACCGGTCCAAAGCACAAATAAATCGAATTTAATGTTAATTTATGCTATACTTAGAGATGTTGGAATTGACAATGAATGATAAATTATACTGTTCTGCCTTTTGGTTGGTTTGATAAATGTTTAAGATTCTCATTTGTGGATTGAAACAAAATTTAACAGCGAATGAGGAATCAAATCCATCTCTTGTGATTTTAAAATTAATCTGTCACATTTTGCATCCTTGTTACTTATAAAGGATTGCAAATATGTCTGAGTTATGTGAATGGGACTCAAGTTTCTCAAGTTGGGTTGGGTACAGGATTTTCTTTTAACAATGTCATACAATCAATCCAGTTTATTCTCTCAAAATAGTTTGGTTCTATCACCGGTTTTCACATGTACAGTATGTATCTGTAGATCAGCTTTTTCAGACAGAGAAGTGAAAACAAGAAAACCACCCTCACTCAGCCAATCAGCTCTCAGCCCAAAGCGTCAACAAATATAACATTAACAATTTCAGGTTTCAAAGTTAGGTTCGCCAGATTTAATGATTGTGTCTGTCAATGAAACATGCACCAAACGTTTGTGACCACTTGAGGGACCCAGAGAGTATCTTAATCTCCACAACCCTGACACTTAAAATTACAGATCTTTCTGATTACGTTACAATGAGCCACAATACGACTGGCAAAATATGGTTTAATAACTTTGTAGGGATTTCTCGCTTCTGGAATTTTCAATCTGTCCTTCATTTTGTCAATCTGAAATATCGAATTGAGCTTTAATTTCTCAGGGCGTATTTATATGTTGATTTGTACTTATTTCAAAGTATTATCTCAGTTTAATTTGTAGCAGTAGTGGTGGGTTATGTTTTTAAGGTTAAATTTGTATCTACTTTAATTTCACTTTGTACAGAAAAAGTGACATTTGGTTCACATTCAAAATAACTTTGCATTGATTGAAAGTGAATGACAGCAGCTTTTGAGGGGCCCGGGTGTGAACCGGAGGAGCTGTCCGTGGTGCTGAAACATTCACTTCATATAGGGTCCATATGCTGCATTGTTACACACTGTGGTAACTACTTTCTGCACTGGTCTTCGTAAGAAAGCGCAGATTCTGTTTTTTTGGAGCTTGGCTCAGTTATAAGCACAGCCCTCACGAGTCAGTGAATGCAAACATGATGCAATGTTATTGTCCACCTATGTACAGGCATTGAAGGGGCTAAAGAAATAGAATGCTATATCTTGATAATCCACATGCATATCACATGTGTTTGTGTTTTTGCACGCCGGTGTCACGTGAGACTGCCCAGTTTAACTTTCATTTCTCATGCGCCACGAGCACACATTCAGCAGTGTTGCACAAGCTGCTGGCTCCTGAACGCAGCTCACTGGAGAACTACAGCATCAGAACTTTCCCTTTTTTGCCCCTCTAATCTCACGTGTTCTCGCGAGAAGGCGGTGTGTTCGACGGTGCTTGAGGTTGCAGAGGGAGACGGTGGAAGGTAACGCAGGGAGGCAGCATCATGGCGGACAGAGACAGTGGCAGTGACCACGGAGCGCCCACCTCAGGCCCACTGCCTCCGGGGGCGATGGGCATGTCCCGTCTGCAGCACGACACCGAGGAGCTGGCGTCGAAGCGCGTCGACATCCAGAACAAGCGCTTCTACCTGGACGTGAAGCAGAACGTCAAAGGCCGCTTCCTAAAGATAGCCGAGGTCGGCGCGGGGGGAAACAAGAGCCGCCTGACGCTGTCCATGTCTGTGGCCGTGGAGTTCCGAGACTACCTCGGAGACTTTATCGAGCACTACGCGCAGCTGGGGCCCTCCAACCCGGACCTGGTACAGGACGAGCCGCGGCGGGCTCTCAAGAGCGAATTCCTGGTGCGGGAGAACCGTAAATACTACATGGATCTGAAGGAGAACCAGAGGGGGCGGTTCCTGAGGATCCGGCAGACCGTTAACCGGGGCCCGGGGCTGGGCAGTGCACAGGGCCAGACCATCGCTCTCCCCGCACAGGGGCTCATCGAGTTCCGCGACGCTTTGGCCAAACTCATCGATGACTACGGGGTGGACGAGGACCCCGCGGAGCTGCCGGAGGGCACCTCTCTCACCGTGGACAACAAGCGCTTCTTCTTTGACGTGGGCTCCAACAAGTACGGCGTGTTCATGCGGGTCAGCGAGGTCAAACCCACGTACCGGAACTCCATCACGGTTCCCTGCAAAGTGTGGTCCAAATTCGGCCACACGTTCAGTAAGTACGCGGAGGAGATGAGGAAGATCCAGGAGCGGAGTCGAGAGAAGCGGGCCTCAGAACTGATGCCCGAGAGCCAAGACGGCGACGAGGGTGAAGATGACTGACGCGAGCTTTGAGCATAAATCTAACTAAAATTGACTTTGTAAAATAGAAATGTTGAAGGGAATCACCCACACAACCTCCACGGACAGCAGTCTCCTCGTCATTACCGGATGTCTCCCACAACCCACCACTCACAGTGAGCCGCTGCTAAACGGAACTGTAAGATACGAACTATTTCTACTTGATTTACTGACAATGACCAGAGTGTTTATATCTCTACAAACGACAGATTTTGCACACATCAAAGCTATTTGGGAAAGTTTCATGTTTTAAAGGGGAGGAAAACAATATTGAATTTAAACAAAATAAGTGAAAGAGAGTCTATCATGGAAATATATGAACAAATATGACATCAGCACAATAGAAGAGTATATTATGGACAAAGTGAAACCAAATATGGTTTATTTAGAGGTACAGAGGTGAGGCGTGCAGCTGCAGCCAGTAGCATGCTGTGGGCTCATCTACTTTAATTTGACCTTAGCCTGAGAGTTCCACACGTTGAGATGGAGAGCCCTGTGCGCCTCTGACTACATGGATATCTTTATTAGGGATCAGCCCTTTGCACCATGTCTATATAAACTTAATGATAAAAGTGCTAACTTAGATGTACTAATTATGATTTTGTGAATCAGCTGTAAAAAAGATTCTTATAAAAACGCCCACGTTTTCAGTGGGTTTTTTCTGTTTTGTTTGTTCCTGGGGGGAGGGGGGTATATCTAAACTGAGGTGAGACGGCGGCGCAGCGGCATCCTCGTCATTACGACCTGTGCCTTATTCTCACTCGTTTACGGCTCACGAGGTCCTCTGGATCAGTGCTGTAGGGCTGAAGCAGCGGGCTCCAACACCAACTGCCCAAACCTGCCCCTGCCACGCCACTGCTGCCCTGGGGCAGATGGCTCAGGCCCTGAGCACGGGACACCAGGAAGGTCCCGATTCACATGGACAGGATACGGGTGGCTTTGCACATATGCACCAAGATATGAATCAAAGCAACAAGGAGAGGAGTGAGTGAGGAGGAGTCCCGATCCCAATGGAGAAGTGGAGCAGGCTCTTTATGGTGCTAACGCCCCGGGAGAGAACCACGGGGCCTCACACTTTCGTTTCTTTAATCAGAGCTTTTCTCCACTTTCTTTAGTCCAAAATACGTCGCTCGACTCCTAGCAAGAGCAGCACTTTTCATTTAGTGTGCAATATGGCTTCAGCACTGCATCTGTGTGTACAGAAAAAGACATGTACAGGCTTTGTGATGGGAGTGGTCTGAGAGCCAGAGGGGAATTATGTGAACTGTTTAACACTTTAGTCCAGATCAGGAGCCGGATCACAGCGGTCCAGCTCTGGGCAGGATTTATGGGCGGTACGGAGCGTCCAGAGGAGCAAGTCACCTGACACCGGGTAGGAAACATATGTTTGGGTTTAGCACAGATAGATCGTCCCAAACAATAAAGCGTAATTTTGAACAAATAATTTTGTGTCACTTGGTGATAAAACCAGCGACGAGGCAGTCTCCTGATATCATTCCTCATTACTGGATTCCCATATTATCATTGTTTATATTTAGCCGTCTTAAGTCAACTGCATATAGTCAGAAGAGTCCAAGTAGTGGGTGACCTTATCTGACCTGTTCAAGCTTATGCAGCAGGGCTGGGCAGAACCGGGGTGCGCCCTCTAGTGGCAACAGTGAAGTACAGGATCATCTGATGTAAGCTTAACTCATGATGCACTTATGCCCAACCATTTAATGCTTTTTAGCTTTAGACAAATTGAGCAGGTGTTCAATTTGGCCGCAAGGGCATAAGTGTAACTGGAAATGCAAAACTTTACAAAAATATTAGGTTTTTTTTCTTAATAGCCAAAAAAAGTATATAAATATATAACTATATTTAGAGCGCTTATATCTTATTGACACAACGCACTTTGTTTTATTTTTAAAGCTGCTATGAGGGTCCACAATTGTTTTAATGTCATTATTAAAATGAGAAAGAAAAAATTCCTGGAATTGAGAATAGGCACACTAATGACTTCCAGTTTAAGTGTGATGAAGTTGGGCCTATTTGAAGATATTTTCAAAGATATATAAAATACCATCGGGACATAGATGCAAAAGCATTGGGAAATGTTTGTGTCGTTTTGTGGTGTGATTTGAGCTGTGTGCTGTCCTCAGTGGTTCTGGAAAAGAGTCTATTGTGAATTAAATTAGCGTGTTTTTGTTGCTAGCCTTTACACACGGCTGTAGCTATTACTGACATAGCATTCACAAGGTTTCTTTAAAAGTAATGAATATGTTTATTAGTATATCAAATGTAACAAGTATTTGAAACCTGATTGTCATTAGTTCATCATTTGTCAATAAGTTTTCATACAAAACCTTTGGTGTATCACGAGATGCCCTAAACACAACTACAGCATTTACCCTTGTGTATAATTGCCAACGCTACTATCAACTAGAGCTGAATGAATTTGAGGGAGAAAAATGTATTTTTTCTGCCAGTATTTTGGTCTGATTTGTTAATGTGATTTTTATCTATCAGAGATTATACTTGCTGCAATGCATTTAGGATCTTTGTGGAATAAACATTGACTTGGCACTGCGATGCTGTTTTGCATGTAAGAGGGTTCATTAATGCATTAAACATTGAGTAATAATTGGAGGCATATTGATTATTCCCACTAACATTTTACTAACTGCATCCGGTTTCATTATAAAGTCATAGCAACAGCCGTGCGTAACTTTCTCGCCATTTTTCTGTATCTTTTCATCGACTATGTGCAAAAACAATGACAGTATCAACAACAAACCTCCTCAAACCAAACTCAAAACTGGACTTCCATATTGTGTTCTTCTTGATGTGTTACATAGACAAAACTGGGATCAGAACGATTCAATATGGCTGCCGTTGTTTGTTAAAACAGTATTCAACGTCATCACATTTTCGGCCATATTGGAAATTCCAAAGATGTTCCATGTATTTTTTTCATATCATTCCTTGCATTAGACCATTTCCGTGATATAGTAAGATTTTATTCTTTGGAATCCCCTTTGGAAAAATAAATATACCTTTACCTCTTGTTACACTGATGGACCAGAGATGGAACAACTGGAGTATAAGACAGTATATATCCATCTAACTCATAAAGGAACAAGTAGTCCAAACATTTTCAACTGTTAACTGTATTCCATCTGGTTCCGAACTTTGAAGTTTGATCTGTCTCTGCAGAGATCGATCCCATTTATAATTGTACATATAAGAGTTCATGAGTCATCAGAGGCCAAAACTACAGAGCCTCAGCTTCACAAACAGTTCAAATGCAAATCCCAAATTAGGTTTTTCCAATATGGCCGCCTTATTCTCCAGTTTCTTGTAACGCATCCAGTGGAGCCGCCGTGAACCAAATCTCAGATTTCGTTTCAGATTTCAGCGCTCGTTTATAAGCCTCTCTCTCATTGGTCGTTTTTGCTGATCTCTCGGCCAATCGCAGCCCAGCACACTCAACCCAAACCACAGGCCTGAGGGCTCCCTAAAACGAGTTGTACAGGCTACTCTTGTGTATAGAATTATAAAGATAGAAAATGTTGTATGATGTTTAACAATGGTGGATTCTGGGTCTTTTAAAGGGACAGAGACGTGTGTTTATAAAACGTGGGCCAACAAGATACCATAATTTCACCAATAACACTCAATATATATTTTAACAAGTAATTGACACAGATTTCAGACAATACCGGTTTTTATAGAATCCAATATATTTGCTTCAATATGTCCATTTCAGATCATTTTCTCCAAATTACAGTATTTTAATTGACTACAAATAATTATTTATTGTTTTATTTACATCATTAAAAGCAGTTTCTGGCCAAAGCTGTAAGAAAAGATTGGCCATTGGTTTATGGATCTGTACAGAATTGTAGCCGAACACATTTCATTCCAACCAAGCAGGATTACACCAGAGTCCACCCATTTGCTCAAGCCTTCAGGGAAAAACTGGACTCAAAAAAGAGTGTGGTGTTGCTCCTGCTTGGTTGGAATGAAAACCTGCAGCCACACTGGCCCTTTAAGGACCGGTTTGACACCCCTGAGCAATAACATAACTGTTATTGTGAGTAAATGGCTGAATCGGTGCAGTTATAGCTTTTGTATTGAACCCAGTTTCCTGTCCTTCTGTGGTAAATGCATCGTTGTGCTGTAGTCTGGACTTTATGAAGTTCATGAGATTCTTGCATTAGTTTCAGAGTTTATAAAAGATGTTCCGATCAAAACTAAGAGGAGCAAATGTCCACAAAGCAAAATATTACTTCAAAAACATGAATCTCAAATCTAATTCTTATTGCAGCTGGCTTAGGAACATTGCATCTCTTTTGTTGACCTCCGCTCGTCTCCAAGTCCCTTGTCTCCTAGTTCCTTGTCTCCTAGTTCGTTTTTGCCTTGTCTCTTTATGTCCTAGTTCCCTGTCTCCTTGCCCCTTGTCTCCTAGTTCCTTGGCTCCTAGTTTCTTGTCTCCTTGTTCCCTGTCTCCTTGTTTCCTATCTCTTGTCTCCTAGTTCCTTGTCTCCTAGTTCCTTGTCTCCTAGTTCCCTGTCTCCTTGTTTCCTGTCTCCTTGTTCCCTGTCTCCTTGCTTCTTGTCTCCTAGTTCCTTGTCTCCTTGTTTCTTGGCTCCTAGTTTCTTGTCTCCTTGTCCCTTGTTTCCTAGTTCCTTGTCTCCTAGTTCCTTGTCTCCTTGTTCCCTGTCTCCTTGTTTCCTGTCTCTTGTCTCCTAGTTTCTTGTCTCCTTGTTCCCTGTCTCCTAGTTCCTTGTCTCCTTGTCTCTTGTCTCCTAGTTCCTTGTCTCCTGTCTCCTAGTCCCGTGTGTCCAAATCCTGTGTCATTTCTGTTTCTTTTCACAGATAAAACAAAAAACATTTGGCCAATATTCTGTTTTTTGAAGCTACACATTTTTTGTAAAGTAAAAGTGGATTTAATGTCCATCGCTCCACAACAAATGATTCGTATCAGATTTTGAAACATAAGCAGAGAATTTGCACATTTCAAATCAAAATCATCTTTCAGAATATTTGGTGCTGTCTTTTGTAAGTTTCTGGCAGATGTAACTGATCATTTATTTTGTGGACAGTAAACAATACACAACAAGAAAATAATCCCAATCTAATATAAAATTGCATTTTTAGAAAGTCTTATTCAAACTGGAAACAAACTTGATGTGAGCATATTTAGATATATATGGTATATTTAGATAAGTGGTTTCCAGTGGTTTAATCTAATGTCAGTGCAATACCATTTTCATTTTGGGTCAAATTAGTTTAATCAAAATCTCAAATGTACTTTTTGAATAAACATGAAGAGGCCTAATGTGATTCCTGTACAAAAAGACAAATTCATGGTTATTTATATAATTTTATAAAGCCATACTTCAGACACAAAGTCCACATTTTGAAGGGTGTGGAGAGAGGGATATTAAATGACATACAATACAAAAACATAATAATAATGTTTTGATTGAGTGATTGATTTTTTTATTCAAGCAGAAATTGTACCTTCATAAGTATTGACAAAATTGACATTGCTTAATAATAATAATAATAATAATAATGATACTATTAAAAAAAAACAGCCAATCGACTAAATGCTTGAGTGGTTTATTTTGTTTTAACTGTGAAATGTTAAAATATAAGTAACAAAGCCATATATCCTACTTGTTTTTGTTCATTCAGCCCTATATAAGCACATATAAGCAGTGTACGAGATGTGCTTTCCAAACAAATAGACAAAGAACACAACAGCTGACATCTTGAAGGACTTGATGACTCGCCAACAGCAGATTAGAAAACCCAAGAACAATAAAACTCTTGTTGTTGCCCTCTTCTGAACACGTCGCTGTCCCTTTAAGAGCGGCGTCAATGCACAAGGAACATAACCCCACGGTCACCTCCTCATTAGAGATACTATGTTGTAATTTGGGAAATATTTTAAACTGCGTGTGTGTGCGTGTGTGCGTGTATATAAAAGTAAATATTATATAAATATATGGTTTGTTATATTGGACGCTAATGTTTATTTCAGACGATAAAACGTGTACAAAAAAAAAAAAAATACCTATGACATGTTGCTGTTTCCTTTCTTTTCTACTTATCAAAAAGCATTGAATAAAAACTTGCACTTTAGATATATAAGGAAGGTAAAATCTGCATATTATTTTTGATAGGGATCTCACATTATAAACCGAGCTTTGTGTCAATTGCTGGAAAGTTTAATTTTAGTTTTTCTCTAACTATATTTTGTCTGTGTATTGGAGGGTTTCTTGAATACTTGCATGAATAAAATAGTGCTTACACCGATGTTTTTAGTTGGTAAAAATGTCTGAAAACTGTGATAACAACCCTATTGTATCCTGT